CTTACCTTCCATGTTTTAAATATCAATGACGATGTGGCCAAGAGTGGAACGGAATATTTGTTTCTTTTTTGGCGTTTCCAAAGTTGGTTGAAATATCACTAATGACATCTTCAACACTTTTAAATCCATCGAATTCAATCAGTTAATATTCTCATTCATTTTCTTATTATTATTACATTAGTAACTACCAAACATTGACTAAAATATATGTAAAATAAACAACAAGCAGATATCTGCTGATGTTGGGAAAATATTACGGTAACTATTGAATTTTGATTTGTCTCTCCACAGTCACAGATGTTTTGCAATACATTTTTATGTGCATTCTAATTCACAATTGGAAACTTTCCTTGGTGAATATTTATAAACGAAAATTAGAAAAAAGAAGCAAACAAACTACTAAATGCATTTATTTTATTACAACTGTCATTATTTGAGTTGTTCTAATGAGTTCATTAACAAAATTTTCAAAATTTCAAAAAATTCAACTTTCATGTATGAATTTAATAGAATAAAGTGAGGAAAAAAGAATTACTACATGTACGCCATCTCTAACAAACAAACGGGATTGATTCGCCAAGAACATAGTAATAAGTAAAGTTGCTCGGTTTCGGTAAACTTTTAAACAAATTATTAGTAGAGTTGACTTCTTGTCAGTTTTGTTGGTAATTTGCCGTTGAAAAATAAATGCTAGAATAAGTAAAAATTGCAGGACATAGTCAAAGAATGCAGAAAGAATTATTCAGCACTGCACAAATTAAACATTCCTTCAACCACTGACGTTTAATGCCAACGATCCATCAGCTTCCATTTGCAAATATTACAACCTTTGTGTCATTCCAAAGGAATGCAGTAATTATTAAAGTTGAAATATTTCAGATTACTGCGATAATAGAGTGGAATTCTTCAGTAGCATTTTACATAAGCCCACGATTTTTCCGTATGGACATCCCCTTGTCGCAGGAAGTTGCGAGCTATTATTGGTGATGTCATATGCTTCCAGTAGAGTCTCTCATTCCAGAAGGTCACTGAAAATTAAGTGGATCAGGGCAGGATAGACTCGCTAGCTTCCTGACAACCATTCTGGAAGAGCGATAACTCTAATCTCAAATTCGGAAAGATGGAACTCCTTCAACCCTGTAAAGTTATCCATCTCAGAGAAAGATACTGTAATTAAACCTATGTCCTGCGGACTTCGCTGTCACTGTCCAATCTCGTTAGGCCTGATAGTTTAAAAAGTTAAGAGTGAAAGATAGCCAAACATGTATACCCTTTGCGCAGACTTGAAGGATAGCCCAAATGATACGATCATAATCCTTGATGACTTCAACGCCAGAGTAGGAAAGAACTCTGAAGCCCGGAAAGGAGAACTAGGCATGCATGTTGGAAACTTCGGACGCCTCCTGCTAGAGTTTTATGCAAAGCAACGACTCGCCATCATAAGCACTTTCAGTAGGAAGAGAACTTGAAGATAACTTGGATTCATCATCGATTCAAGCACTGGCACCTCACTGACTATGTTTTAGTGCACCACAGAAACTTTCTGATGGAATTTGACCAGAAGTCTGGAAGCATGGAGATCAAGCTAAAGATCAACCTCCATCAAGCTCCATGGAGATCAAGCTTCATGCTAAATTTCACGAGTTCATTGTGCGTGGTGGGGGAAAGACGAACTAACTACCACCATCTCCGTGATGCAATCATCACTACCTCGTGCAAGAAGCGAGGAGAAAAATTAGGCTGCTTAAATTACTGCGGTAAGAACTTCAACTAGAAGCCAATGTGATTTCAGAGCTAATAAGAGTACCACAGATATGTATGTTCTCAGACACCTACATGAAATATAGGAAACGAAACAAAGGATTCTATATAACTTTCGTGGATCTCACCAAAGCTTTTGACACTATGAGCAGAAAAGGCCTATGGCAGATTTTGGAACGATTAGGATGCCCCCGAGTTCCTAAAAATAATCATCCTGTTGCATGAAGACCCAGCGCGTCCAACTCAGTTATGGTGATGCACTCTCTGAAACAAAGTTGTTCTCGCACTAATTTCATTCACATTCCTCTTCAGCATGATTCTCCAAAGGGCCACGGCAGATCTCAATGAAGAAAACGACATTTACATCCGACATCGTAGCGATGAAAGCTTTTTCAACCTAAGGGACTGAAGGCTCCTATTAAGACTCTAAACTATCTTGTCACGAGCTGCTTTTTGATGACGATGCTGCTCGCGTTGTTCATAGAGAGATCGACAGAGAGATAAACAACAGTGACACAGAACTTTCGGAAAACTTCATAAAAGAGTCTGGTGCAATAAGCACATGGAGGAAAGTTAAAAAATTATTAGTGTACATAAAGCGACTATATTGCCTACTCTTTCACATAGGTCTGTCATACATCATCGTTACCTACATTCCTTGGATTCTTCGTCCTAAATATCCACTTGATTGATTAAGTGATTAATGTATTTGAACAGGTAACGGTTACCAATATTAAAGCTGTGCTACCGAGACGTAGTTGCGCTTGGCTAAACACGTCTCCAAGACGGAGGATAACCACCACCCTAAAATTGTACTCTATAGTCACCAGCTTCCGCGAAAGAAAAGCCCGAAAAAGGAGGTCCAAAGACTCTCTGAAGCAACATCCAAGCTTTGGCTGCATTGACTACCATCAATGATTCCCTCTAACCTCGAATGGAGAGACCTGGAGACACACTATCCACAACGCTGTTGCTTCCTTTAAGAACACATGCAGAATTAGTCTCGTGGAGAAAAGGTAAGGTAGAAGGAACCATGCTTTGGCAGTATGGGCTAGGGAGACTTTCTACTGTGTCTTTTGCAACTGGACTTGCTTATCCCACATTGGCCTATCAAACCGTCAGCGCGCTTGCAGCAGGCGTAAATTGAGCCCTTCACACATCTTCGTCCACAAATTCGGGCATGACATGATGATGATGAATCCACGACTTTATTAAATGCACTAAATCGAATGTTGTCGTGAAAATAAGAGAAAAAGAGTTAAGAATTAAGGAAGTGAGGGAGATTGTTTTTAGTCGTTCAAGAGACAGTCAATTTTTAAAGGAATCACTTACAGTGTACCGGTTCGTTGTGTGTTCGAAAGGTATAACAGTTTATCCTTTATTATCGTCCGGATACAAATACAAAAGAAATGAGTTCAAATTAATTCCAATTTCAATAAAATGACGTCCAGATTAATAACAATAGAATAATGAGAGAAATTTGTAAGTAGTAATTAATGAATTAGGAGAAAATAAAGGGTGAGTTGTGTGAAGCTGAATGCCGACTGATGGGTTTTTAATAACAATGAATGTGTGTTAGGATTTCTTATGTTTATATAAGGAATGTGTGAAGCGAAACAATCATAACAAATTGACGTATCCTCAGAGCCGCCAGAGAAATCTAAATATCTATATTAACTTATATTAAAAACAAGTGGCTTCAATCACGATATATATTGCTTGAAGAAAGGAAAGAAATGCGATGCTTAACAGAAATCTAGAGATGCACCATTGGATAAAAATATGTTTATGAGATTAGA